TTCCCAACAAAAACAAAAGTAAAGATACGTATATGAGCTTTATTTTTGGATACGAAGCTAGATGAAAAGAATTCTGTTAAATAAAAATCTCTTCTTTTCAAGTTTTTAAAATAGTGAAAACTATCAATAAGATGTGTAAAGGTTAGAAATGCTTTTTGACTGCTATAGTTGAACATTGTACTACATATCGTAATATCGTAATATCGTGTAGTCACTTTATTCCCATTTTCATTTCTAAAAGGTAGATAATTAATAACATGAAATACAGAAGGAAATAGAAGAAATACTCTCCAATAAATTTAAGCTTTCTTAGATCAAATCATTTATCAGTCACGAACAGAAATACAGTACTGTTGACAATATAAATACTCTAACTTATTAGATCAATAATATTACTGAAGCGTAATAATCATTAGTATAATTATCTAATTACTGTATTAATTTAATAATTAATTCTAAAAACCTAGTGTTTAGTAAAGTTGGATAGTAACCAGTTACATCAAAAGTTGAAGTTTTTCATCAGAAATGTATTCTACATTTTGATTTGGTAAATGGCTGTAAAGTAAATAAAATGTCTGAAGGAATAAACATTAATTACCATACTTCTTTATCCAATCTAGTCAAGCTAACTTTCTTTATCCGTATACACTAGCCCTAAAGTAGTATAAGATATAATGATAGCACTATGTTTTTCTTACTTTTTTTATTCGACTTTAAAACCAATTTCTTTTATCTAACCTGGAGGTAATGATTTTGTAAAAGAAAGATAATCGATCTGATTCATAAAAGTAACCGTAAGCTATACCCCTTATACAATTGGAAGATTTACTTTCTTTTGAAAAAAACTTTAAATTCACATAAAAAGAAGATTTAAAAAGAGGAAAAAGGAAAAAACAATAAAGAGTAATATTCTCCTTGGGATCAGAGAAACTAAGAGATCGGAGAAAGAATGTGGCAGTAATGATCAGTTAATACGTCAGCGTTTTATGCATGCAGTATATAGTCATGCAAATATGAAGCAAAGCGACAAAGCGAAAGTACTTGCTAAACTTATTATAGACATTTGCATAAGTATTTTCTTTTGATTTTTTATAACTTTTTCTTTTTGCTTTTATTTGTTTTTTTTTTCCTCTTGAGCTGTAACTTTAATCACATTCTCTTAGATTTCAGTAGCAAAAGCTCTTCACACCTTCATTCTTTATTCTTTTACTTGCTGTTTTTTAATTAAAAAAATCACTAGACTTGTCTCTCTAACGACGTTCCATTACCAAAAAGTACACTAGTTAGCAGTAATGTATGTAGTTTGGAATCGGTTATTACGTTCATATACAAAATCGGTTATTGAACCCTGGCTTCTCATTAAAATGATGATTTTGCGAAGAATTCAAAATATTCTAAAACAACTACAATATTTTCTCTGAATGATATTCTTTTTTATTTCTCTTTATAGTTATCTTTTATAATATGTTGATGTTATATATTAATTTTTATATTGTAAATTATTGTCATCACACATTTAAAGCAAATTATATTTATAACTATAATCAGTCATTTTCTGAAGGATTTAAAATTATTACTTAAAAATTAACATTTTTTGATGGGTTCATAATTGTTTTATGAAGGATTCCAAATGGTTTTCTAAAGAGTTTTTTTTTTCTTTTAGAAAAGACTTAACAGTTAATGATTTAAATAATAATATTTTTATGGATGATTCATAATATTTTTCGAAATGATTCTAAATATTCTGAAACGATTATAGTATTTTTTTAAAGGTTTTCAAAAATGAGTTCTCAAGATGCTGAAAAAGAGGAATCATTTTTTAAAAGGTTTAAAAATATTTTCTGAATAGAAATGTTTTGTGAAGGATTCATGAACCTTTCAGAAAGAAATTATGAAGCATTCAAAAAATGTTTTTGAACTCTTCACAAAAAATTTTAAACCCTTTAGCAAATTTTATGAATTCTTCAGAAAATGTTTTTAAGCCTTTCAGAAAAGGTTTGTGAGCCGTTCAAAAAATGTTTCTCAACCATCTAAAAAATGTTTATAAACCCTTTAAAAATGACTCTTTTTTACATATAAAAACATCTTGAAACATCTTCAAAGCTTGAGATATTTTTAAAAAATTTGTAACATAAAGAGAAAACTAATAAAATTTCATAATAATTGTTTTCCTCATTTTCATCTCCTATATCTTAGAGAAATTTGTCACACAAAAGTCTAGTCACAATTGCTAATTCACAAGGTGAAAACCTAGACGTTATACACTATAAGGTACTAAGTTCAGTTTCCTATGATCGACTGTGATGAATGTTCTAAGGTAAACATTATCGTGACTGCAATTATATGTCAGAACCCACTAAGAAGAAGCAACCATGTGCTTGTTTTTTTAGATCATTTGGTACGAGCTACCGCTTTTGTATAGGAGAAGACATAATGATTATGAAATACGTATACATGTTGTATAAAATAATTAAGTAATGATAAAAAGGTGTTAATAATTCGAGTACCATGCATGATCAAAAGTTGTGGTAACTTAACTGCTTCACACAATCAGGAAGCTTAACATTCTACATAACATGCAATGCTTTTTTCATCCTGACACCAAACGCGAAACAGCGAGGACCGTCAATCTTTCTTTGTTAGCTTAGGTCTTGGATTATCGTATAACTTTGAGTAATATTTAATAGAAATAGCAAGTTAGTATAAGAAACAATTCGCAAATCCACCAATTAGATGAATATATAGGGCGAAACTCAAGATCAAATCTATGACTGGAAGAGTTCAAACATATGCTTGGAACAGTATATATATTTTACTATAGAGTTTAAAGTTTAGGTTAGAGTATTGGTACCTGGAAAATGGCAAAATGATAACAATATTATAGGGATTTGGTTTTATAACTGTTATTAATCAAACAAATACGCAGGATCGCAAGTTACTGTAGATCCCGTTATTGATGTCGTGATATATATATACAACGTACACATAATATTCTCTAGCAATTCCATAACATTTGATGTGGTGGCATAACATTACTTTTCATGTCGTAATACTATGTGCTGCAAGAAAAAAACTCTTTCAACAACAAACTAATAATACATCTTAACATTTCACAAAACAAAACAAACTAACTAATAATACGGTTTCTGAGAAAAATAAGAACTTTGAGTTTTATGTTTATTAATTATATTACGTAATAGAAATACATTAACAAATATGAAGTTTAGAAAATATAATATATATATTTTTTACTCTCTTTGTTTCAGTATGATGCATATTATAGATATTTCCTACATATTAATAAAAAATATAATAAATGCATAATTTTTTGTGATTATCTTTTTTTCATAAATCTAAACCAATAAGAATTGAATAAGTGTAATTTTTTTTTTGAAATTTACAGTCAATCATTATTAGTTGACAGCACATGCATTGAAAAATATATATCTTTCTGAAACAATTTTTTTTTCTAAAACATGTAACATTATAAAAGATAGGCAATATCATTTTGCTCAATTTACTTGTAATTAGGTTAAACATACCCACATATGTATATATTATGTGTTTAGAGAGAGAAAGCGATAAGGTAGTGCTTTAAAAATTGAAAGATAGGAAACAGATTGTTGCTTTTTTGGGAGGCTTGAGGAATGAAATTCTGTCTCTCTTCAAAAATCAACCTCAAAGACAGTGACACCACCTCAATTTCTGTACAATATGTTTTTGTTTCTAAATATATTAAATATTTGCAAATTTACTTTCACTACTCTACTCTATCATTAAATATTTACAATATGTTTTTGTTTCTAAATATATTAAATATTTGAGTTCTGTAGTTTTAGGAGGATCGAGACTTGGGAGAAACCGAAGAAAAAAAAAGACTAAAGATGACTCTTTCTTTCATATGATACTATTCCGCACATAAATAAAGGTCAATTAACCATAAAGAGTATGATCTTCTGACTTAAGCTTGTTGGATAGCTCAAAGCCTCAAACTGTATTCTCATAATTTGGCTGAGCATTACAAAGTTTTGATTGCTGTCTTTATCAAATATAAACTCTGTGATGACTCTTCAAATATATTATCAAAATAATTAACTTTTATCAATACCAAAATTATTTAAAGTATTAAAAAAACATGGACCAAAGGTTCTGGAAGACAGACTTCCTCATTTCGAAGCACAATTTGTGTTCCTAAAACTTCACTATGGTCACAAATGCATCGCTCGAACACATAACTTTCAAATTCACCTTCAAGTTTATATGTATGAATATGTATGATTATCATTTTTTTGGTAAATAGAAAATTGCTTAATCTTCTTACAACTTTGTTGTTGAGGAGTCTACCTAGACAAGCGCACAAGTAGAAACTAATACAAGAAAATACAAGTGAACGATAGATGAGTGTATCTACTACAATAATATAAAAGTTCATCTAATAAAAATGTTTATGGTAAACCCAAAATGATTTTATTCAAAAAAATAGAAATACAAAAGCATTAAGAGTGCCCTAAATCCTATTATATTACAATGTTATTTGTATGTATAAAAAAGTTAAAAACTAAAAGATATAAAAACACTTGAATATTAAGCTGGCCCTCAACATTCATCTGTATATAAAGATGATATTTACTATAGTTGAATACATTTTTTACTTGAACCTGTGGGAGGGAAACGAAGCTTGAAGGAAGTGGGAAATTCAAAAAAGCTTCAGAAAGCTGTTTTCTTATTCAAAAGACGAAAGCAAAAGGAGGGTATAGTTTATTTATAAAAAACCATACAAATATATAAATTTTAAAATATAAAAAATTAAATAAAAACAACATCAAAAGTATGAAACCAACCCAACAATATAAAACCATAACTTGCTTGCCTCATCTCTTCGATACTTCTTCTCATACTAAACCATATCTTTATCAAACTAAGTTTTCTTCTCTTCCTTTACGCTTAAAAAAAAACTTCAAAGTCTCAACTTTTATTCTCGTTTGTGAGAGTTTTTTGTGATGCGAACAGTGGCTTATACCGTGCACCAGACGCTAACACCAGAGGCTGCTTCAGTCTTGAAGCAATCTCTAACCTTAGCAAGAAGAAGAGGCCATTCTCAAGTCACTCCTCTTCACGTGGCTTCAACCCTTTTAACTTCCACAAGATCCAATCTCTTTCGAAGGGCATGCCTCAAATCCCATCCTTTCACATCCCTTGGTCGTCACATAGCTCACCCTTCTCTCCACTGTCGAGCTCTCGAGCTCTGCTTCAACGTTGCACTCAACAGACTTCCCACGAACCCAAACCCTCTGTTTCAGACTCAGCCGTCTCTCTCCAACGCCTTAGTCGCAGCTCTGAAGAGAGCACAGGCTCACCAGAGGAGAGGGTGTGTGGAGCAGCAGCAGCAGCAGAGCCAGCAAAACCAACCGTTCTTGGCTGTTAAAGTCGAGCTCGAGCAGCTCGTTGTGTCGATTCTTGATGATCCTAGCGTGAGCAGAGTGATGAGAGAAGCTGGACTCTCTAGCGTCTCCGTGAAGAGTAACATAGAAGATGATTCCTCTGTTGTCTCCCCTGTTTTCTATGGCTCCTCTTCCTCTGTTGGTGTATTCTCTTCTCCTTGCTCTCCTACCTCTAGTGATAACAACCAAGGAGGAGGGACTTTAAGCCCTAACCCTAGTAAGTTCTGGCACTCTCATCATCACTCCTTTGAGCAGAACCCGTTTTTTCATTTCCCTAAAGGAAAGATCTCTACTCAAGAACAAGCTAGAGAAGATGCAGCAAGCCCGGTCATTGAAGTGCTTCTAGGGAAGAACAACAAGAAGAAGAGGAACACAGTTATAGTTGGAGACTCTGTGTCTCTAACAGAAGGAGTGGTTTCAAAACTCATGAGTAGAGTTGAGAGAGGAGAGGTTCCTGATGATTTAAAGCAAACCCATTTCATCAAGTTTCAGTTTTCTCAAGTTGGGTTGAATTATATGAAGAAGGAGGATATAGAGGGGCAAGTTAGGGAGTTGAAGAGGAAGATTGATTCTTTCACATCTTGGAGTGGTAAAGGTGTGATTGTTTGTCTTGGAGATTTGAATTGGGCAGTGTGGAGTGGTCCTAAGAGTGCATCTTCATTGCATTACAGTGCAGTGGATCATCTAGTGGAGGAGATAGGGAGGTTGTTTTATGATTATAGCAACTCAGGAGCTAAAGTTTGGCTATTGGGGACAGCTTCTTACCAAACATACATGAGATGTCAAATGAAGCAACCTCCACTTGATGTTCAATGGGCTCTTCAAGCTGTTTCAGTTCCTTCAGGAGGACTTTCACTAGCCCTCCATGCTTCCAGGTTGGTCACTTCTTCTTCTTCTTTTCTGATCAATGATCACAAACTTAAGTACATGTGGTTGATATTAAACTTATTGATGTTTCAGTGGTAACAGTTCTGAGATGGCTCAGATGAAGTCTTTTAGAGTTAAAGAAGAAGAAGAAGAAGAGGAAGAAAAGCTTAATTTCTGTGGAGAATGTGCTTTTAACTATGAGAAAGATGCAAAAGCTTTTATGTTAGCTCAACACAAAATCTTACCTCCATGGCTGCAACCTCATGGGGATTCCAACAACATTAACAAAAAGGTACAATGTCTGTTGATAAGTGAATGATCTTTCTTTGTTATTGTTGTCTTCTTTGGTTACTGAACCGGTCTTTCTTTTTGTGTGTTAAAGTTTCAGGATGAATTGAGTGGGCTAAGGAAGAAATGGAACCGGTTCTGTCAAGGTCTTCACCACAAGAAACAGAGCAGCTCTGTTTTACAAGATTCCACAGCCACCGTTTCTCTTGTGGACTCGTTTGCTCTGAAGCAAAACTCATGTGTATCTAGTTCTGTGGCTAAGTTCAGACGACAAAACTCATGTACTATTGAGTTTAGTTTCGGAAGTAATCATCAAGAAGGTCTAAAGAAGAATGAACCGAGTCTTGATGGATTCAAGATTAACAATGATGAAAGTGTGGAAACCAAGATTACTCTTGCACTTGGTCATTCTCCACTTCCATCTGATGTAGAAAGCTCAGATGAAGAAGAAGAAGAGTCAAAGAAAGAGATTACAATGAGACAATTATCAGAGAAGCTTCACGAGAACATTCCATGGCAAAGGCAAGTTCTTCCTTCAGTGGTTGAAGCCATGGAAGAATCTGTAAAGAGGAGAGATGTTTGGATGCTTCTTTCGGGGAACGACGTGACTGCGAAAAGAAGATTGGCTCTTACGATCACAACTTCTCTTTTCGGATCAGTTGATAACATGCTGAAGATTAATCTGACAACATCTAAAGCAAGTGAAGCGTGTGAGGAGTTCGAGAAGGCGTTGAAGGACGGAGAAAAGGTTATTGTTCTGATAGAGAGTGTTGGTTTAGCCGATGCCCGGTTTGAGAAACTCCTCGTTGATCGATTCGAGGCTGGAGATTTGGATGGTTCTCAAGGAAAGAAGAGACAAATGATCTTTGTTTTGACGAGAGAAGATGATGAATGTGTAGAGAACGAACATGTTGTTATATCAATGATGTTGAAGTGTAAGAAAACGAGTTCTAGTTTGGTTAGTCACAAGAGGAAGCTAGAATCTGATGATGCACCAACGATGATTAAGAATCCGAGAATCCAAGAGGAGGAGGAGGATGTGGCTTGCGACACAAGTAACATCAAGAATGAGTTCTCAAGGCAGTTGAGTTTGGGATCAAATGCTCTAGACCTCAACTTAAGAGTTGATGCCGAAGAAGAAGAAGCTAAACCGGTCACTCAAATCTCGAGCGGGTTTGAAAAACGTCTTCTAGGTTTGATCAAGAACCGGTTTGATTTCACAGTTTTGTCAAACAAAGATATAACTAAATTTTTCGTGGCGAAGATCAAAGACTCGTTCGAGGAGATCCTTGGGAAAGAGCAAGAGAGATTCGGGTTCAACGTCGATGCGGAGTTGATCGAGAAGTTATACAAAGGGTGTGGGTTTTTTGCTAACAGTTTGTTCGAAGAGTGGGTGAAGGAGGTTTTACAAGCGCGTTTAGTAACGGTCAAAAACGGCGGGAAAGAGGGCATAAGTGTAATTAACCTATGTTTGGGAGGTATAGATGTGACTGACCAAGGGAAGGAGGTATACGTGGAGGAAGGTTTCATGGGCACTTGTCTACCCAGTAGAATCCAAGTTTTCTTTGATGGTTAGATTTGGTTTTAATTACTGTTTTTTTTTTTTTGTTATAATCATATGTACTAAATATCTTGCTATTATAATCATATATATTAGTTATGACTGAAGAAAACTTGAACTTGACCGCATTGTTCTTTGTGTAAACGTATAAGTTGTCTCTGCTTCATGATAGAATGTGCTTTTTAACAAAGTTTTTCTTAAAAAGAGGGAGTAATAATCAAGTATAATATGTAGTAATTGACTATATGTACACAAGCCAAGTAATCGTTATCAATTATTTATATGCTACGCAAATACGGTTGTCAAAGTAATGATTAGCATTTCGTTATGTTTTTTCTTTTGTTTTGTATGGTATTGTGTTCGATCCGACCTTGAAAAATCTTTTGATACTTTCAGGATTGCCTTAAAATTTTGACTATAATACTAGTCTTTGACAATTGGCTGCTGTGGATAGTGGGTAAAAAGACACATTGGTAACGGCAAAACCATTGTGCTTTAAGGTTTAATACTGTTCTTTTATAGTTTTATTGATTATTGAATATTGATGGTTCTAAAATGAGAAAAACGATCTAGCCTAAGAAAAGATGGTCCTTTCATTTTGGTTTCAGTTTGTTATATTGATGTTCCATGAACTTGAAGCAAGAAATACCAAATTTCAACCGTGATTTCAGCAAGATTGAGTTGTCAATTGAACATGTTGAAGCAGGACCTAATATAAAAATCATATTTTTGGTTAAATTCAAATATATAAGGTCTAAGTTTGGTTTTTACTATATTTTGATTTTGTTTTCCAAATTATTTATTTTAAACGTCTTTATGTTTGCTTAAGAATTTCTTGAATTACAGAAGTGAAAAAGTGATCAGTCTTCAAATCAGAACTGAGATCTAAGTGTCTTCACAGCTGTCCACAAGGCAGTTCACTACTTGCAATCACAACCAATACTTGTTAGCATTGGTATTTTCAATCCTTAGTTTTGAAATATTGGAGATGCAATTGATGTGATTCAAAGAAATCTCATTTTTTCTGGATGTTGAATCATTTGTAACTAACAACTATGCATTTTACTATGTGACATAACGTTTACCATTGACTTACTTATGTAAACTTTGTTTTCTATGCATGACATCAAGTTTCAATACGGTTTATAACAGTGGAGAATGGAGAGTTAATTGCACATTGCAATAATAGCCATGGTGAAGAAAGATGATTATTCGGATATTTCATGGCATCTTCGGATATTATGCTACTTGAACTACGTACAACTGGAGTGTCATCATATACAGTTCCAACTAGACTCTTAAATTCATTTCTATGTGGAGAAGTCTGAAGCGAATAGAAGGTTGTATTTTCAAAAGTTTATTTTATTCTAAATGAATTAAAAATAAAGCAACATCTTATCTAATGGTTTACTTCATTTCTTTCTTCTAAAATGAATATTCTAAGTATATTATATCTTTACAATATTATTAATTATTAATATTTACAATATTATGGCTTCAGATTTCATGGAGCAGAGGTTTCCAGGGAAAAACTTCAGCGTGCTAGAGACGCATATCGTTGGTTGTTGGGATTACTACTTCGGTAAAAATTTCAAAGTGCCTAACTTTTGGAGTGTGCATGCTGAGAACTTGTTCAGGTTTTCCCATGTCTATGCACGTATGAAGGCGTGTTGCAATTGTAAAACAATATATCTACAAGCTGATTTCAAACGTCAACAAGTTAACTATGAGAGAAAACTTGATGTAGCAGATTCTATATTAGAAGACCATGTCTACGATGCAGCTCGTTTCTATGGCTGTCCTTTAAACATCCTCTTGATATCTGGGGATGCTGATTTTGTTGAGTTGGTGGAGGCATTGAGAGTGAAAGGCGTCAATGTCTATCTGTGTAGGCCTCGCAACTGTAATCAACTACTCATAGGCACTGTGAAATCACAACAGCAGTTTGACTTTAAGGATTTGTTTTTCCCAAGCCTATTCAGCTATTGGAAGCACCCTCATCTGAGGCATGTAGCGCTTGTGCTTATTTCAGTTTATTTGTTTTATGTGAACCTTGCTAGTTATGACATTTCAGTTTAAAGTACTTAATTATTAAACTTTGTCTAATCTTGTGAACCTTGCTTTAGCTTCTAGTTATAACATTTCAGTTTAAAGTAAAAAAATAACACTTTATATTTTTTGCATATTTCCAAAATTTACTCTACTATTTTGCTTTAACAATATCCAACACAATTCCTATTTAATATAAAATCAAACATCATCATGTAATATATTTATTATATGACATGAATAAACAAACACAAAAAATCATAATTTGTAAAAAAACACCATATATATTTGTGTAAGGAATTAACAAAAATGTTTAGAAGTAAGAGATGAGCTTATTTATCTTTGGTTCTTTTTAATTGAGTTAAAAGTTGTTAAAAATGAATATTAATATGATGTTCAATATATGATTATTTGAAAATAATAGTCAAATTTTAATATTAACTGGATAATATTAGTATATAATTTACTTTGTCAAAAAGTAAGAATAAATAAAAGTTAAGAACTAATTTATAATTGAAAAAATCTAATTTCAAAGAATGAAAGAATAAACATTATAACTTTAAATTTGAAGCAACATTGTCATTTGCTTCATTTTGATACAAGAAGTGAAGCACTATTTGGAACAAAATTTGCTTCAAAATAAAATGAAAAGTGGAAAATGAAGCACAATTAGAGATGGTATTAAGCTGTCATGCACTATAGATGACGCATTAGTCATGTAGAAAATTTGTGCACTTTCTTCTATAGATATATGATGCAAAATTTTAATTAATTTTGACTCATGTTAAAAAAATTTCTATCTTTGCCACTGTAAGTGTTGCTCTTAGGTAAATTTAAATTGTATTTGTATGTATATCATGTTCTATGTATATTGTATCTATTGATTATTATTTTCTTTCATTTCTTTTATAGGAAATTTATCGTGGGCCAAATTATTTTGAGTCTAAGTACAATAACAAAGAGATGTGATGATTTATGCTACTAAGATAGTTAATGAGAAGCTGGTTGCGGTGGTAAACTTCCCTTACAAAAAATTGGGAGAATTGCTTGTCTCATTAGATGTGATGCTAGTCTAGACACCAAGAGAGGATGAGACTGATGAGTCTCACGAAGAATTGGAAAACCCCACTTGTTTGCTTACAAACTTTTGTTTCTTATTATGACCATTACGACCATATGGTGTTTTCATACATCTTTCTGTGATATTATGGAATTTGTTCTACGGATTATTTTTCTTAACTAGTTTCTGTAATGAATTTACTTACATTTCTTAAATTTGACAACTTTAAAGCTTGCATGTTTTCTTTGTAACTTATTTATCTATCTTTTAGGGCTAATTAAGGTCGATGATTAGTGAAAACACAAACTTCCAAGGGTAAGTTTAAATCATCAACCACACAAACAATTTGGAATGAAAAGATGATTTGTTAAATGCACCTATGAAATGTGAAAGATGTAATGAAGTGGTCTTCGTCAACTTGTTCTGCAATACAGAGTCTATAAATAATAGCATTGTTATACTATCTCAAAAAGCTGGACTCAAGGTCCGTAGATATCTCACTTGCTTCTATCCCTAAAGTCTCTCTTTCAATTTTTTTAGTTTCTAGGCTGTTTCTTTTTTAAGATCCCTAAACTACTTATCAGCAAATTGTCAGCATATGTGGATTACTTAAACATGGGACACCTCTTTATTTCTGAAGAGGAGCTCTCTCAAAAAAGTTATGAGGAATCAAAGCTAACCGGAACTGTGCTCTGAAATCATCAATTAAGGCTATAGTGCAACTTTTTCTATTGAACAATTCAAATTTCATAACATAATTTTGAGATTTTTCCAGGTTGAAAGTCTTGTGAATATAAAAAAAAATACTTTGAAATTTGATCTCCAATTCCTTCTTTTTCTTGGGATCAGACGCTCTGACACGTAACCTCGAGGCGCATGTGCCCCGGCTTCCCATCCACATAGTCTTACGCACAACAACCCTATAACTACCTTGTGTGAGATCATCCACGCAAAGATATGTAGAAGATTGCATTGGCCGCATTGAGCTTATCACTCGGCTCTTTCTCGCCTTCTTCTCCAAGAGTTTCCACAACCACACGTTGAGTAATCAGATTTATGTTTTATCCTCCTACCAGCAAAAAAAAAACTACGCATGCACAATCACAACTAAATCAACATCGTCCACGGAAAGGATGCATTATAAAGACTCCGACATTATTATAGAAAAAAAACAACAAACGGGCCACCAATCTGTGGAGATAGACCCTAATTTTTTTTTTTTGAGATTTATGGGCTTACAATCGACTGAGTTTTGTTGTAGTAATTATTTTATGTTAACCTAAGATGACGCCGTATTAATGTACCTCTTCGTACCTAACGTGTCGAACCAAGTTCTCTTCTTTTTTATGGTTGTGGATAATATCCTGAAATTTTGGTGGAGATCTGGGGGGAAGAAATGGAGGACGATATGGAAGATTTTGAATTACGGCGAATGGAAAAAAGAAGGCGGAAGGATTTGCTAAAGTTATTCGGTATGGAACTTGTTCAAAACGATCCTAGTTTCAGTAACGAAGGGTTGGCCGATGTAAGCTCTCTTCGAATTCTCTTAATCATGATGTTGCTTTCTTGTATATGTAAATATCGATTCTGATTGCTTGGTCGTGTTAGGATTTTTTCAGTAGATGATTTTATCTTAAAAACAAAGGATGATACCTTTTTTTCTTCGTAGGGTTTTGATGTGGATAACTGTAGCTATCCGTCTAGAGTAATTAAGTCTACTTGGGGAGATGATTATGACGTCGCTCTTTATGGTAGGCTTGGACTTCACTGCTACAATTTTCAGAAGGTAAACTGCATGTGATCATTGTATCTTAATTCATTTTTTTTCATCGCTATTGTTGTGGGGAACTTGGGTAATGCAAGGAGATCAGTCTTTAAGTTTTTCATATACATTATTATGCTGTGTAAAACATTAGGAATAAAGACTTTAGTTCAAAATCATATATAAAAATTTGAAGATATTATACTATATAACTATAACATGTTTTTTTTTTTCTTAAAACCGTTGTTATGCCTATATGAGTTTTATCTTCTTTGTCACCTGATCTATGGAACATGGTGAGGTGATAAAAATTATATACCGTGTGTGTTCTACAACGCTTTTTATGCGCCTTCTTTTGGTTATTTTAAAGTAGTGGATTGCATGATTTTTAGTTTTTTTTTTTAAATGGCTAGAGTTATTACCCATTTAATTTCTACTTGATCAGTGTTACCTTGATTCCCTTTTTCTTATGAGCTATTGTTTTTGCATTGAAAGGGAACAAATTTCAAGTTTGTGCGCTGGGAAAAGTATGATCTTATCTCTACTGCATACGACTACTTCTATGTAACTTTGGACGCCAAGGATCCTGTCTCTGACTCGGTCTTCTCCTTTCAGACCTTGTTAAACGAAGATTTTTCTCCACTCTGTCCCGTTGTGTGGAGTACCTTAGTCTGCAGAATCAAATGTAAGAATAACAATGTTGTCTGTGTTTTACCGATGGATGTCTTAGTAGTGTTTATATATATCGCTGGGAGTTCTGGTTTAATTTAAGAGAACTAACTGTTTATGGAGAACTCTTTTAAAGGTGATGATGCTAAGGATGGAGATTGGGACGATAAGGCAGTAGATGATTTCTTCAAAGGTGCAATGCCCAAATGGTTGTCTGATGAAGATTTGGCGTCTGACAACAAAATGTACTATGTGGTAAGATAATGTCCACTGTTTGAATCTGCAACATATTTTTTTTTTTTAGTTTGAGAAGGCAACTTGTCTAACTAAGCAGATAACATATGGATTATCGTAGGTGCAAGAATCAGAATTGCAGGAGAATGACTGGCTACATCTATTCACCGAAATTGCGTTCTACTCAAAAACAAATAATGTAAGTCCTTGAGAGAGATACTTCGCTAAAAAAGAAAAGAAAAGAAAAGAAAACGAACCTTTACTTTTGTAGGTATTGACTGCTCCCCCACCCTTGGAAATCGAGAAGGTGGTTGTAGTAACTAAAGAAGACACAGAAGGCCATGAGAAACTGAAAGCCAAAGATGCAATCTTCTATGTGAGTTACAAGTATAATGGTGAATCTTCAGAGTGGGCACGTGATCACAAAGCAGTAATAAGGAAAACCATGGATCGGAAACCAGGACACTTGTGTCTTGAAGTTGCAGCAGCAGCAGAGTGATCTGAAGAAAAGACAGAACTGCGGATCTACTCGTTTTACAATTCCCGACGCTGTTTACTAATTCCATCATGATACCTTATATGTTTTATCTTGTGTTTGTTTAAAACTATTTGGACTTATTATCTTCGCTAGGAGATATTTCTGTATGCAATGCAATATAATTAGTATGAGAAGGAATGTTTCGTTGATCTGTTATGACTTTTGTCTAAACAGTGCTGTTTGCTTCCTAAGGCTGCACATTTTTTTAAAGCATCTGCAAGCGAGTGAGAATGGTAACTTCTTTCAGTTTCTTATTCCTTTCCTTAAATTATTCAACCCATGATGTGAAGATTCAAGAATGTAATATGTTCTCTATTTTTTTGCAACATTATGTAATTTGTTGTCTTGCAGTGTCTTAGGGTATTAAATTAATGATTGCCATTTTAATACCTTTTTGTTTTGTCACAATTTCTGTCGAGGGAAAGTCTAAATGATCTCTGTTTTGCTTCGAAAGCGTATATAAAATGATCGAAGATATCAATCTTATGTGGCTGTTCATGGCCCTGCCTGGTTGGAATATCATCATTTTGTCCAGGTGGTTGTTAATAGTAATACTAACTTGCCTCTTCGCATACCATCATTTATATATGTGTAATGTATATATGCGTATTTATAACTTTGTATGACTTTGCAAGTTATTAATATTGTCGGGATTTTTCCAAGTTAAAAGGCTTGTGACTTGTGAATTTAACAAGATATATTGAAATTTGATGATCTCTGATTCCTCCGTTTCTTGTGATCAGACGCTCTGACACGTAACCTCGAGGCGCATGTGGCCCGGTTTCCCATCCATAGTCTTACGTACAACAGCCCTATAACTACCTTGTGTGAGATCATCCCCGCACTCAAAAGATATGTAGAAGATTGCATTGGGCGCATGGAGCTTGTCACTCGGCTCTATCTCACCTTCGTCTCCAAGAGTTTCCACAACCACACGTTGAGTAATCAGAGGCCGGCAATCCTCAATCTCTCCCGGACTAAGCGGTCCATTCCATTTCGTGAAGAAGGCAAACTCAGTTAAGAGATGCACCCATCCGTTTTTCTCGTTACGAAGCTCTGATTGTTTAACCTATGGATCCACACACCCAATATTCAAATTTAAAAAAATATTAAAGAAAAAACATGAATGAGTTTGTGCATATATGAATTGGAGAGTTACCACATAGGATCGTTGCTGCTGATCTTCATTAGACAGCCATTTAGGCATTTCACCTTTGTAATAATCATTTACTGCTCTATCGTCCCACTCATAATCAGCCTCTTCGCTACCTTTTTAACCACACAAAGAAAAACTTATGATAATTGGCAGAGGAACCACATTTCAATAAGCTGTTAAGACAGATTTTGTATACCTTCGACCCTGCAAATGTGAGTCTCCCACCACAAATTGGGGACATATGTAACTTGATCATCGTTATGCTTCACGCAAGTCTCGAAAGTGAGTGGAGAACGGTCGGCTAGATTAACGGCCTCACATGTTATGAAAGACTTGGTGAAGGAACGGTGTCTCTGCTCATGTAACTGACAGATATACCCAAAATCGTAAACTGTGCCCTAGAGAGATCAGAAAATTAGGACGCGAAGCTTAATTAACCTATTGGTGATAAGTGGAAAAAGCATGCGTGTAATAAAATAGGACTAGAACAAAACCTTCTGAAGATTATAACAGTAGAGTGCAAGTCTAGCGCAAAGGCCTCTGTCATAATGACGGCGCCAAGCTCTAGGCTTTATCCTCCTACCAGCAAAAAAGGCCTACGCACGCACAATCACAAATAAATCAACATCGTCCACGGAAAGGATGCATTATAAATAGACAAGTAACGTGAGAGCAAATCATTTGAGAAGAGGATGTTACGTTGGCATCTGTAACGTATGAGGACCAGCCTCGATCAGCCGGATCATATGAGGAGGAAAAAGTTTGTGTATCTTCTCCGAGTTCCTTCAATTGCGCTCGGATCTATACATTATAACCAAAAGTAATATATTAAAGAACGAAGCATGCACTAGCTACTACAGGCCAATAGAAAAGATAATTAAAGAAAATTCGGACAACCTCTTCTCCGAATCGGACATACTCGGGATCAAATTCTGGCGACGAGTCCCCCATATCCCCCAAACTGTATTCTCTCTTCAAACCCTAATGAAAGAACACAACTGGTTTGAGTGTGTTTAGTTTGCGTGGGCTTAAAAAGACAGTCTTTGAGTTCTTTTTTTCTTCTTTTGTTCTCGTTTTTCATTTTATTTAAAAATGACGTCGTATTGACGTAAGGTAAAACATCGAACCTAATTATTTTATTCTTCTTTATGAAATGAGATTAAGAGAGATTTAGGGCAACCTTGGTCAAGAGAGTTGGCGGATGTTATGGTGGATTTTGAGTTATTGAGAAGGGAAAAAAGAAGGAAGAAGGTTTTGCGAAAGTTCTTCGAATTGGATGTTGTTCCAAACGATCCCGATTTCAATACAGAAGGGTTGGCAGATGTATTAATTCTTAATCATGTGTTTCCTCATGATGTTGCTTGTTTGTATATGTAATATCGATTTTGATTACCAGGTCGTTTTTTGGATTTTCCAGTGGATGATTTGATCATCTCTTCGTGTAATTTTTTTTTAAAAAAGAAGGATGATCCTTTTCGTATGGTGTTTCGTAGGGTTTTGATGTGGATAACTGTAGCTATCCGTCTAGAGTAATTAAATCTACTTGGGGAGATGATTATGACATCGCTCTTTACAGTAGGCTTGGACTTCACTGCTACAATTTTCAGAAGGTATCTTCCTTATGCCCGTTCTCTTGTTTATTTTTAAAATGGTGGATATTCCATGATTTTAAGTTTTAAAAATGGTTAGGGTTTGTTTTAATTGTATTTTTTTTCTACTTGATGTGTTGAGTGTTGCCTTGATTCCCTATTGTCTTTTTTGCATTTGAGACAGGGAACAAACTTCAAGTTTGTGCGCTGGGAAAAGTTTGATGTTAAATCTACTGCAGACGTCCACTTCTACGTAACTTTGGACGCCAAGGATCCTGCCTCTGACTCGGTCTTCTCTTTTCAGACCTTATTATGCGAAGATTCTTCTCCACACTGTCTCGTTATGTGGAGTACCTTAGTCTGCAGAATCAAATGTAAGAATATCACGGTATCACCATTTGTTTGGAGTTCTTGTGTTATAAAGAAATAACTGTTTATAGAAAACTCTTTTAAAGGTGACGACGCTGTGGATGAAGATTGGGACGATAAGGCAGTAAGTAGATGATTTCTACAAAGGTGCAATGCCCAAATGGTTGTCTGATGAAGTATTGGCGTCTGACGATAAAAATAACTATGTGGTAAGATCATGTCCACTGTTTGAATCTGCATTAGCTTGAGAAGGAAACTTGTCTGACATGTTAACTAAAGGTAGCATACATTTTTTATATGTGGATCATCACAGGTGCAAGAATCAGAGTTGCAAGAGAATGACTGGCTACATCTATTCACCGAAATTGCGTTCTACTCAAAAACAAAGAAAGTAATTAAGTCCTTTGAGATTCTCTGCCAAAAAAAAAAGAAGAAAGATAAGAAAAGAAGATGAACTTTTTATTTTGTAGGCGTTGACTGCTCCCCCACCCTTGGAGATCGTGAAGGTGGTTGTAGTAACTAACACAGAAGATGGCCATGAGAAGCTGAAGGCCCAAAATGCAATCTTCTACATAAGTTACAAGTATAATGGTGAATCTTCAAAATAGGCGCGTGATCACAAAGCGGTAGTAAGGAAAACGATGGATGGGAAGCCAGGACACATATATCTTGAAGTTGTAGCTGCAGATTGAGCTGAAGAAGAAAAGACAGATAGAGATCTGCTCTTTTATAATACCTATCACTAACGCTATTACTAACTTTATCATGTTACATATATGCACTATGTTGTGTTTGCCCTGTTTTTGACTAAAACTATTTGGACGAGAACGAGCATATGATCTATTATTATTCGTCAAGGAGAGATTTATGTTTGCAATGCATGATTAGTCTGAGAACGAATTTCATAGGTCTATGAATTTAAATTCTACCATGTTAACAAGCTGGACTCAAGGTCAGCCAATTTCTCATTTGCTTCTATCCCTTAGAGTTTCTCTTCATATATATATATATATATATATATATATATATATATATATATATATATATATATATATATATATATATATATTTTTTTTTTTTTAATTTCTAGTCTGCTCTGTTTTGAATATGCCTAAATTACGAATCATCGGATTGCCACCAGATGTGTATTGTGAACCACATGATGATTCAGGGATATCACACAATGAAGAGGTGAATAGAAGGCTCTATAGACATCTTAAACTGGTTATTTATCCCTTTTCAGATGTGATCTTCAGGATCTCAACTCACCCTCATGATGCTGTTTTTGGTGTAAACTTTTGTTTATTTTTATCTTGCTTTGTTCAGTTCTTGCCATGTGAGTGTTGAGTTTCCTCTGGATTCATGTTGAATCTATTTTAGTATGTTGTGTTTATTTCTTTGAAACCTGAGATGACATTACACTTGTTTCTTTTTGTCGACTTGAGTTTTTGTTTCTCATCCTTAATTTTTTTTTTGTATGTTTGTTAGAAAATACATGGTTTACATTCCATGAAAGTTGTCATTGTATCAACAACAGATATTTGATTTCCAAGACTCGAAAGGTTTTTGGAATATGAATTATTTTAATACATTTATTAAATATATAAATTATTTATACATGTAACGTTTGAGAGTGTGACACGTAATCCTCCTTCCATCCTTTATAAATACATCGTCATTGCACTGCTAAACCCTACAGCAACAAAAGAAAACATCTTCACGCAAATAGTAAAAAGGAGTTTCTCTTTCTTTTTTCTTGTTCCTCGTGCCTCTAGAGTTCTCCAGTAAACGTACCAGAAAGAAACAGAGACAAAGCGCAGAAGCAGTATATAAACACAAAAGGTGTCTCTGAGAGTTGGAGTAAGAAAGAAGCAATAATGTGTTTGGAGTTTGTGTATCACGAGGAGAAGACAGAGCTTGGTCGGCAACAAGCACCGGGTGTGTGTCCGTATTGCGGCGGAAAAGTGGCGGCGGTAGATATTGAGACGAAGTGGTTGTTCTGTTTCTTGCCACTTTGTTTCAAGGTCAAACGCAAGTACTCTTGTTCCTCCTGTGATCGTCGTCTCGTCTTGTATTATTGAAAGAAACAGAGCAAATGAAGAGATAATATATTTATTTTTATTTATTTGTTGGTTTTCCTACTCTCAATGTTGAGGTTTTTGGAGATCTTCCCTTGTAATTTCTGATTTGCTATAAACACCCATCTTGGTGGTGACATTGGTTAAGTTCTTGTGGGTTTTAATGTAAATAATTGCGTTGGTCTTGTTTCGCTTATTACATGAGTTCAATTCAGTTTTGTCTAAATAATTTCTTTGTCATTCTTAGCTAAATTCCGTTACTATTTCTTGTTCATTTCAGTGATTGATTACTCGATGCTGTTTTTATATACATTTGCTTTTATGTGTTCGAGAGGATGATCAACCGAATAACATGGAACCATAGATTAAACACCATCCTTTTTCGTAAGAGAAAGTACTGAACTTTAAGGTATAAATAAAATGTAGAGACGAATGAGCATAGAATCCGAGCACCTTGTCTTGTGAACTTAGTTTCACTTTTCCCGCAATAATCAAGAGAAAATATATTTGACAAAGATCGAATATCAGAAGTTATTTGAGTGATTGACACGAGCGTTTCGGTATATGAATGAGGCCAAAGTTTTGATGTACGTCTTAGCTGGCCAGACATGATAATAGACAAGAAGAAAATAAGATGTGGCCCTAAGAATTGCGATACAATCTATGTATCTTTAACGTTCACTTAAATAAATAATCAATTTGTGTGTCCACAGAAAAATGTAGAAATGAATCTTTTAACTAATCAGCCAGCTCCAAGTATCTTCTACATAGATTCCATTCTGGTTTCATTTTATTTGAAGCCATCAAATATATATACATATATATATAGGTAAGACATTTTCGGTATTGATTGTATATTAAAACCGAAATTTAAGTTTGAAAGAAACACAACTTCTTCTGTATTGCTTTTCATAGAGTTGGTTATACATGAACTAGGTAAGCCCGTTCTAGACCGCACATCTCTATGTAATATCAGACAATACATAATACGTATCTGCCGGAAAGGATAGCCGAATTCTCTTTTGTCCTTATCTAGCAGTGTTAACTTTATATTATGACGTTTACCGACATGTAATATGTTACAAAAAAAAATACTTTTACCGACATGTAAATAAGTATTTTGGAAACTGCTATCGACATCGGATGCAAAAAAAATATATGCACAAATGTACTTACAGAATGATATCTATAATGGAATTCAAGTATAAACTTAAGATTGTTTCAAAACTTAGATTAGAAGTTTATACATACAATGGACTAGCTACGATACAGACTACAAAACTTCAGATAAGTTAATTATAAATATGATGTCAACTTAATTAGATTAGAGTCTGTTTGCAATAATCCAATGTAAACAAAGTAGATGTTTGTTGCTGTACTACTATTATATGTGTAACCTGGAGTAAAAAGATGATGTATGTTACGTTAAATATAGAACGCTAATATATATAACCAAAATAATATTAAAGCAGAAAACCAGTTTAAATGCTAGATATTAATAGACTTGTAAAATGAAAACATCTTACTATCTCAGTATATATCTTCACAATTCTGCTCTAGTTGATAAATTTTCATAATTTCATGTGTATTTTATTAGTCTTCGAATAGTTTCAACTCTTCTCTTATTTATTTTTAGTGTAGTGGATTACATTTATATTCGATACGTAACTCTGTACAAATGTATAGTGCAGTACTGTATATACTCTTTCTGATAGTTGATAGATATCCAGAACTGGTTACACATTTCAAACGTCTAAATTAAATGCACATATAGAAACTTTCTGTATATGTATCAGTTAGGTAATATTTTTTGGTGTTGACATCACTGATCTAGGTAAGATCTAATAGGTATCATATCATCTTGGAACAAGTCCTACAAATTGATCAATTACTACAAGAAGTAATAATAATTTTGTAGAATCGCATGTACATGATAAAAGGGATAGAGGCAAGAACAGGTGGATAGGTGTTGGGACGTCACTTATCATATTTTTGCTGGTGGATAACCCCAAAAACTCTTCCTCAATCTTTCTTTGGATTCTACGATGCCAGATCTTATCATATTCCGAATAGAACTCATAAATTCTATTATTGATATATGTGTTGGGAGCAGATAAGGTTTTGATATTCAAAGCTCAAATCATTGCGGCTAGGCACTCTCATGTCTTTTCTGTGCCCGAAAAGCCAAACTTACACAGTCTCTCTCACTCTATTTATTTTTTTTCTTCCTCAGTGTGACCCGTTGATGTCTATTAGAAAAAAATGTTACGAAATTATGAAATGTTACACTTTTGTTTCACGTACAGTTACCCTTACAACACTCATCTTTCGTAGATGAAAAAAAATAACAATCACACGATCACTTTGTTTTTCGATCGATTCATACGGGGTTTTCATAGTTTTACTACTCTTGATGGTCCAAATGATTACCACGATCGGATGATGCTAGAGGCCTAGAGTAAATACGTAGCTCTTTTCATTCTTGTTATTGCCCACAATCTGTCAGAAACTTTCTCCCATGCACTCTTGCCCAATAAGTATATTCGGAGGAATAGACTCGCACTGATATTATTGGGCCTATAGCTCAGTTTTATTATATCTAGTTCAGTGTGGCCCATCTATCTTGTTGTTCGTCTAAAATATTAGAAATTATGTATTCCCTTACAACTTTCATGTAGTTTATAGAATCTTGAAATCGAAATAAAAGTCTCACTACTGCAAACCAAAAAAATGTGGCCTTACTCAGGGATCACTGAGACTGTCTTGACATCGATACATCTTACAAGATTAGCACTTATGAGTTATGAGTACGTAGAAAGAGAGTCAACTGCAAGTCTTTTAGAAGTTTATAATAAGAAAATGTAATGGTGAAACACTGATATATGAGTCCACTGTCCAGTCACACTCAAGAGCTAGTGTAGTGTAGTGTAGTGTGCCTTCCTGGAAATTTCTTTCGCATGTCCACACGGTACGAAATGCCAGTTAATTCCAGTTCTATCATTATTGATTTAGCTGAATAAAATCGCAAACCATTATTTGATTAGTTTCTGCTCTTTTATAATTCAGCAAAAGAATAATTAGACTAAATAATATCATTATAGAAGGTAATCAAAACATAATAAAAACATAATAACCGGAATCTCGAATACTTACAAAACGCAAGAGCATAAAATTTTAAAATATACTTTCGAAGCAATATTAATCGGATCTGCAAGTCGAATGGGATCGCATGCCTAACACCATATGATAGTTCATAGAGAATCATAGATCTATAATTTTTATTGATATTAAGTAAGAAAGCTTAAGTTTGACTGCAATTAGTGAATATTCAAACGATAATCAGTGAAAACAATCTATGTGCTAGTATATTTTAGTACTTATGCATTACATATATATACTTATGGACAGCAATTGAACACTTTATTTAAATCTACATATGAGAGAACATATTCGTTGTAGAAATAACATAGTGTTGAAAGGTCAAAAGAAATCTGCAGTGCATGCATTAATGTTATTGTATTCATAATCATAGTTCGGGTATTAATGCATCATGCATGCTAGTCAATCGTATCATGGTTTATATCGTAGTGTTGTAGAATGTATAGTTAACTATCTTTAGTAAAACTGTAAATAATCTTAGTAAACGGGGAGATAAATGGGATATAACTTTTTTTTTTTCTTTGAAATGGAAAATTTAGGTAGTTACACGAGGACCCGAGTGACGAGTCAAAGCTACTTGGAGGAAGCTTCCTAAAGCTCTCTTTCGCTAGAAAGTGACGGAAAATCAGTTTCAGCAGAGAATCATAAGAACAAAGCGAAAGAGCAGAGAAACGCCTCTCTGAGTTTTCCTTCCGCCGAGGTAGCTCTTATTCTCTATTTACCAGAAACTTGTTTCCGTATGTGTTTTCTCTATTTTCTTCTACACTTTTGTGTGTTGTTTGTTTATTCGCTTCCTCTCCTGGTTTGGCACGAGTCACGATGTTATTGTTATCCTACACGTTTCGTTGTACTGCTCTATCAGATTATTTGTTGAATTTTCCGGGAAATTCTCCGGCGACTGTTCGTTTCTGTGGTTCTCCCGCCGTAATCATGGGAAACATTACTGTTCTCGTCTCGGAAGTTTGTTAGATTAGAGAGTGGTTGTTACTTTAGAACAGTGAAAAGCGTAAGTTATTCAGGAAGAGATTTGTTAAAAATCTGTAATCTACAAATCGCCTTTGGATTGATTTGGTAGTGAGATTCTTGACCTGGATTGAGATTTTTGACGTTATGTTAAAGACTATGATGCAAAAGGCTAGAGAACTGTTTCTAACTTTGGTGTGTGTGTTTTCAGGTTAAGGAAGAGCGTATTGGTTTAATCAACAGTGTGTCTGAGTGTGGTGCTATCTCTCCTGCGACAGCCATGAGTGGACCATTCAAGAACTCTCCACCAGTGGAAGACAAAGACGTGGAGGCTGGAACTAGCAGCTTCACTGACTATGAATATGAAGATAGTCCCTTTGACATTACCACTACTAAGAATGCTCCTGTGGAGCGTTTACGCCGTTGGAGGGTAAGTGGTTCTAATTCCACTTCATCTGCTAAGTGTATTTGAATTTTCCTTTCACTCTCCTCTCTACTTTTGTGGCTTCGTTTCAAATTCGTATTGGTTAACTGCACAGTGCTTATGGTTTTAGTTTCTTGAAAGGGGATGATATGTTGTTATTTGCCTCAATTAGATAGTTCAGGTTTGTGTTTCTTTGTTTTGTTTCCTAACATTCTGGAAAATTATTTGGTTTTGTAGCAAGCGGCGCTTGTTCTTAATGCGTCTCGTAGATTCCGATATACTCTGGACTTGAAAAGGGAAGAAGATAAGAATCGAATGCTGAGGAAGATGAGAGCGCATGCCCAAGCTATAAGAGTACATAAGCTTTGCTAGTAACTTTACTTATAAATGTTTAGGCGGTGTCTGATCAATGCTGTTTGCTACCTTAGGCTGCTCACCTTTTTAAAGCAGCTGCAAGCCGAGTGAATGGTAACTTTTTTTGTTTTTTGTTTTTGTTTTTTTGAACACAGAATGGTAACTTCTTTTAGTTTCTTGTTCTTTTCTTCAAATTTTCTTTTGTTCAACCATTTGTGAAGCATGTAAATGTTCTCTTGCAGTGTCTTAGGGTATTGGTATGCTGTATGCTGTAGTTGACTGAGGGTTTGTTTCTTTTTAGGAATTACAAGTTCTGCTCCAATCCCTAGCGGTTGTGATTTTGGTATTGGACAGGAG